GTGTTCACACACATCATCACACACATCCATTGGGAGCCATACTCCCATTGGAGTTCTTCTCATGGCTGATACCCATGGCCATCCATTCGTAGCCCAAAAATAGGGTATATTAGTTTCAAATGATAAAATCCCATCGGCAATACTGTGTTTTTTATGTGTTTGATCATGGTATAATGACTTGCTCACGAATCGCGTTGTTCCAAATGTTTCAGGATTTCGTTGCACACCAAGTGTTGTGGATCGCAGACCTGGTGACTGGTGACAAAGCGTGGCTGGCGCGATTCCGCCCACCCTCTCGCCCCACCCAGGCCCTGATTGCCTATGCTGAGAAACAGGTTGTAGCGGAGGTGGTCGGTTGCCCCGGGAGTCCATGCCTTACCCTTGGTTGAGCACTTATCCTTTAATGACTAGACCGAGCTCATCTACACCTACAGGCACAGGAGAGGGGAATTCTTAAACATCCTCAATAAAATGGCAGATGCCATCATGGCAGTTAGGGATGAGGTGGGAAGGGAAGACAGGACCATTAATGATGCGATTATCGAGGCAGAGGTCAAATTTGTCAAGGTATGGTCTGCGGATTCACAGTTCCATAGGGAGTCTCAGAGAGAAAATCGTGTAGTTGCGACTCTTGATGAGGAGGCGATAGAGGACGATGAGGATGAGCTTACGGAGGAGGAGAATAAATATGTTCGTAAAAAGGAGGCGGAGGTGGTGAGGAACAAGGCTGCGTTCAATTCCACAAAAAAGAAAACATACACTGATGTGAGGGGGAATGCGTTCCTACCTCTTGCCTCACCCAGATGGGTCGAGACAATGACGACTGCCTTCTCTGGCAGGGTCTGGTCCGTGGAAACCTTTTACTACCTTGCGCCCATAGATCAGAGGGGTTGTCGTCTGTTGGCCTCACTCACGCAGGATGAGATGAAGGCAGCATATAATAGGGCTCTAGAGATGAACACAACACCACCCGATGTCAAGTTCCCGTTCAATGGGGATGGAGTCTTCCTCCTTCCGATGTGTATGATTGATGCAGCGAAATGTAGTTTGCCACGTCCCACGGTCTCGATCAAGGGCAATAAGCCGCCGCAGAATCCTTCAGCCCTTGCGAAGCTGAAAAGGATTTGGAGCGTTGGTAGACCGTACATCAAATGCACGTGTATTATGGAGGGCAGAGCTGATTGTGGCACTGGCCCAGCTTGGTTCGATCACTTGGTATGGTTTCTTCTATACAACCTCGAAGTCCTCTACCCTGATGCTTCCACTCCCAAACCGAAGGTTTCCTCGCTCATCAAGTGCCTTTCCACATGTTGGAAGCCACTTATGCTGACATCTATATCTTTTGGATGCATCAGGGAGGTGATGATGATCTTGGCCAGGAGGATCATTGTTGATCCATCGCTGACCTCGGAAACCGTCCTCACATGGATTAACGGTTCTGATCGCAAGGCCTTTAAGGAGTGTGTAAAGCTGCTCCCGATGCCTAAGTACGTGAAAAAGAGGGCCAAGCCTTTTGACGGTGCGACATCCTCAGGAACCAAGAGGGCAAGAGTAGAAGGGCAAGAGACAATGGATAGGTTCGTTAGGAGCAGTTCTACCCCACCCAGTGCATCCCACCAACCTGATGATTCTACCCCCCCTGAATCAGCCGCCACGACGGTCACTGGGAGGAGAGTTGGCTTGCCAGTGGAGCTCAATGGTGGATCCACCAGGAACCAGAGGAATGTACAACGTTCGATTTTCAGCAACTGAAGGGACGAGATCTCAAAATTCATTTTTCTGACTTTGTGTAGGTACGCAAGGGGTCTCTGGAGGAAGGACCTTCGGTAGGATGAGACGGAAGCAGTATGAAGATCGGGAAAGAGCAGGGAAGAGATTTGTTCATATCCATTATGTTGGGAGAATAATGGAAGGTTTTAATGTAGCCGGGGTTTTCGAAAACGTATTTTTGAAGTTTGTTAGCACATCCGTACTAACATGCTTCCTGAATATCAATCTCTCTCGAAGCAAGGCCTGTGCCCATGCACGGGAGTCGTGTATCTCGAACAATACCATGAAGCTGATACATTGTGGATTATCGGGGAGAGTGAGTTTCTCCTTTTTTTAAACAGAGGCTGAACCATATCCCTCTGAGGAACGCTAAGGCAAAACAAGCGCCTGATGCGTAAATGAATGCGTGGTCTAACACATTGCGGATTATCGGGGAGAATGAGTTTCTCCATCTCGCCCTAGGGAAGCACATGACTGGACTAGTTTGGACCATAATAACTTTGGAACTTGCTATGAAATTAAGAAGATATTCTACGAGGAGCGTTCCTGCTCAATTAAAGAGTGACATCAAGAACATGACTAAGTATGTCTTCGTTGCAGGAACAGACAAAGTGGCGAATACCCCTTTTTTTGTCTGCAAGCACCTCATGCGCGCCTTGGCTCTTGAGCGATTATCTAGCCCAGATTTTGAATTTTCGAATGCACCAACGGAGCAGTTGCTGGATGAGGTGATTACCACTATGAAGAATAGTTTTCCATGAGTGAGATCAGATTCCAATAACTTCCCCTATCTAATGGCGATTTTCAAACTGCATAAAATGACGTTTAGATGGATAACAAATGCTGCCGACTCATTCCTTACGCCCCTGTCTCAAGTAGTAGATGCGACACTGGCGACATGAAAGGAGGAGGTTATGAAGCACTGCGCTGCCACGATAAAGACAGCAAAAGCTTTCCATGGAGTAGAGACAACGAGATGGTGGGTAATAGACAGCGTACAAGGTTACTGCTATAACCTGCCTAACGAAATTGATTCTGTGTTTTTCGTTGATATCTCGAAATGCTTTGAGAACATCCCGATTGATGATTTTCCGGATGACCTGATTAATGCGATCCAATTTTTTGTGAAAATTGGTTTTTCACACATGAGATCAGTCTCGGGATGCACTTCCCTCAGAGTATCTTATAAGCGGAATGGAGAGGTCAAATGCTCTATGATAAGAAGTGGATCATCTTCCACCACTAGCTCCTTCCTTGTTGATGCAGATGGAATCATTGAGATGTGTAAGTGGATTCTGAAGTGTTGCTATACGATGTTCGACAACTCAGAATGGAGACAAGTCAAGGGAATYCCGATGGGACTCCCCTGCTCACCAATTTGGTGTAATGTCTATTTTTTTAAGTACGAATTTGAGTTCATAATGAGATTGTTGAAACTTAAGGCCTTTGAGCTTGCAACTATGTTTAGATATGCGTACATATATATTGATGATGCGCATGTGATTAACGATCCGGCAATTTTGAAATTATTGGATCTGCCGCAACCCAGGACAAGTGATAACCCGTTCTGGATCTACCCCCTCGACGTCATTGAAATAAAGAACCAAACGAGGGAATTCACGAGGGGACCTGATGGATTTATCTAAGGTACGTTAGCCCAATTCTTGCACTTAATTATCCTGGTAATCCCGGATTCCAACAGGCAATTTGTCACTACCAGGCACGACAAAACGCGGATTCTAAAGTTTAAACCAACTAGGTTCGTTAAGTTTGCGTCTAACTGACCAATCAGACAATCGATGAACGTAATCATCTCTCAAACTCCATTGATCATGCTCCTTACGTCCTCGTCTTCTGCAGCCGCCAGAGATATATAGCAACTGATCTGCATGATGGTTGACAATGGTTTCGATGAGTCGAGATGTATGGGGGCAGCGTTGAAAGTCCTTGACCATCCGCGATTATTCCATAATTTCCGATGTTGTGGATCCGACACGAAGAGGTTGTTATTGGTAAGTTTTATCTCCTGTGCGTCAAAAAGATATAATAAATGCGTGAGTGTTCTGAGTGTGTGTGTTTCGTGCTGTGTCCTTTCGGCAATAAAAATATCCCCCTTGAAGGGCTTTTGGCGAAAGGGATGCTGGGGGGATATCAGACCTTGAGGGTCAGGTATCCTCCCTGACCCTCATTGACCGAATTCCCCCAGCGGGTTAGGGGAGGGCCACACACACACACACACATGCATACTAGTTGAGGTTGTCGGAACCTTGACAGAATGGGTCTTGATTGAGCTTGAGGGAAATCATTCTCTTCAAAAGAAAGAGAAAAGGAAGAAGTACTCTCTTTGAACTAATGCTCGTTTTCTAGTGAAAGGAATGTGAGTGAATAAGAGGTCCGGGGGGATCAAGGGATTCATGAAAGAAGAAATGATATCATGGAAAATCGAGGGGTGATTATCGCACCCGCATAAAAAACAAAGGCAATATAAATATATAAATACATATATACTAGGAAGATTCTCACGCCCGGCCGGTCCTGCCCGGCCGGGCACCCGAGCGTGGCGCCCGGGGTACCCGGGCGTGCAAAAAAAATATATATATATATTTTTTTATTTTTATTTTTTTTAGTTTTTTGCGCTCTACTAGAGGACTCCAAATCCGGGCTCATTTCGTTTTTTGCGAGTTGACTGTCAAGGGGGGGGGAGGGGGGTATAAATTGGTTTTTAAGGGGCTAAAGGGGTCTAAAGAGGGGTGCCTTTGTGTGATTCTGTTATTTTCTTTTTTATCTCCGATTCTGTGAGGAATCATAATGTGACCCTCGGCCAAAAGTGGTTTGCATTTCAATCCTACACAACATATGTTTTTTCTGGAATTTTTTAAGTTTTTTTTGTTGTTTTTTTTTTGGCGCTGGGGCTGCCCGGAACCCTGCCCGGGGGTCATGCCCGSCCGGGCACCCGGGCGTGTACCCGGGCAGAAGTTGGGTGCCCGGGTGCCCGGGAAAACAGCCTAGCATATATATATATTTTATTATTTTATATTATATACATGCATTTTTTATGTATTTTATTAGTAAGCAACCCAAGAGGATCTCCACTTGTAGATGAAACAAAAGTTGTTATTTAAGGTGTTTTTTACGGAAAGCAGGGACACGCATCTGTCCCAACTCAAAAAAAACGGCCCCGCCAAAAAAATAGCGGGACAGGGATCTGCCAAATATCGATTAGGGGACTTGAGGGGGCGAGGTGTTGTGTGGTAAAAATTGGGGGATACCTGAGGAAAAAGAAAACGGTACCGGGAGGTCCTTTTAATCCACCCTGATGAACACACCCACACGGAAGCCTTGACTAGGACTACTTAATCACGATTAGCAATTCGCTAATCCTCCCAAACCAACGGAGCAAGTGTGCTTACGTGAGCGGAACCGTCAACTTGATGTCCAGCTTGCGGAAGCAAACTTGTCTTCGTAAGTTGCGAATTGGTCTCTGTGTGCACTATGTCTACCGCGCCTTTATCTGCTGCTGCATCGTTCGCCGCGGAGGTGGCAGCTCGACCTTTTTTTGGTCTGCCGGGAATCACGCTTTCGATCTCTGCTATGATCGTGATATCCTACTCGCTCATTCCCCTTGGTGTAACCATTCTATACACACCAGCCATCGGTTTTTTGATCGGTTCAAGGAGATTGTTATAGACCGTCATGGCTTCGGCCTAAGACTTCAGTTTTGAGGACATGGTCGATTTGCATCTCGTTGATAAAAGGAATTGGAGGAGCACTCAAGTTCGAGGAAGCACGACCGGAGGTGAAAGTCATCATACCCTCAATAAAGAACCCTGTCCTCAAAACACGGTTGCATCCGGATGATTGTTTCTCAAGTCTCCTGTTCTCTCTAGCCTTTCTCTCTTTCTTTCTTTCTTTTCTTTCTTTCTTTCTTTTTCTTTCTTCTTCTGTCTCTCGATGTATTTTTTTCACTATGTTTCTCGTTACTTTTTCCTTCATTCTGTCCGACATCCTCCCGTCACATCTAAACTTTAATCGTTGTATGATTTCCCTTATTGATGGTTCTCACGCATGAGTCTTGGCAGTGCATTTTGTGTTGTTCGTGCTTTGGATTCCTCTGATGAGCTAGCCTGTGGCAAGGCTAGCGAAAAACGATTTAGGGAGCGTGCCACTTACTCAGCCGTATGCGTTGCTATGATCAATCGCCTACCCTTTCTGTGGTAAAATGGT